GTCGTGGGAGAGGCACAGTTATTACCTTTCAGGGGTATGGTTGTAGAACACCCAGATATCCCCGTATATATTTTTTATCCAGAACCTCGGAGAAGGTAAATCACTCTTAGTCACCACCTGCGGCTTCCGATTATACCAAGTACATATTCGAGATATAACCTTCAGAAAGAAACTATTTATATATAAAGACAAAATAAATTATCTATATAAAAATTTGAAAGGCAAGATTGCCATAGTGTAAGTGAAAGAATGTAAAGATATTGAAAGTTGAAGGTTGGAAGTTTTTGACATAAAGTTGCTATATACATTAATTTGAAGTCAAGGTTAATCACTTTCCAAAAGCCACATATAATTAAGGAATTTAGGAATAAAAATTATTGAAGTGGTAATAGTGAGTATTGAGTTTTGAATACAATTATCTTTTGTATTAACAATTTCTTTTGCAAGGCATAAACCAAATGTGTCTACCTAAGTTATCGCTTCCTTTTTGATAGCTGGATATAACTCTAGCAGCAATAGAAAAGCACCGGCTTAAGCTGCCATATTACAGAGCACAATTTTCTAGTATTTCACTTCCATTCACAATAAAAGTTTTTACTTTCATTCACATTGGTTAGGCTTAAGCTACCTTTTTTCTTTAACAGTAGCATTGCTGCTCGTGGGTCGCAACTCTATTGTTAATGATAATTGTGGAAAGTTATATGGTTTGTAGGTTAGTAATGTAGTTGTGATAATAGTAAGTCAAATATGGAGCCTGCTCCAATCTTGTTGTGTTATTTTGATGTTTTTTTGGTTGAAGATTACTGGAACCTGTGCAAGGCACAGTTACACACTCTTTCAATCTAGTATGTCAGTCAATTGTGATTGTTATTATTGTTATTGTTAGTGTATATGTATTTTGATAGAGAAATTGTTGTTAAGTGTGGGAATTTTTGATAAAAAACTGGTTATAAATGAGTTTAGACAGGTTTGATATTGTTGTTAAGAAGTAAAGATGTTTTATTGGTCATTTTTTAAGTATAGATCTTTGGATAAGGTGAAACTGATTATAGTTTTTAAGTAGATTTGAAAAAATTATAGAATAGTAAAAAAGTAATGTTTGGTATTGTTTTAAGATAAAGAAAAGAAATAATAAATTTTCAAAGGTTGTATTAAAACAAACATTAGATCTAGTAACTTTATTTGAATGTGTTGTTAGAATTAAATTTGTATTATAGAGGGTGAAAGGTAAAAGGAAAAATGGTTATTATAATCATAAAGAGGAAGGTACCTAAAGACAAAAAATTATAAAGGAAGGCTGCCATGAGTCTTTTTCTATACAACCAAGAGCTAAGAAAAACTTCTAACTTGCTTAGGTCTTGACCAGAGGTCCCATCCCAATACAATAGTATTTCTTGAAGTCTTTATATCCTTTGGATTTAAAGCTTATTTGCTTTAAAGAGTAAAGAAAGGAAAATGCTTCTTGAAAGAAGATTTCCTAAAAAGAAAATTTTCAAAAAATTAGTGATAAATGGGTAAGAATTTTTTTTTTTAGCATTATTATAATAAAGTTTAATTGTAATATTTTTTTATTTAATTAATAAAAATTATAAAAAATATTTTATTTAATATTTAAAAAATTATTATTAAATTACAAATAGGTATTAAATATAAGATTTTATATTAACAAAATTTATAATTATTATATTAAAGGTTTTTATAAGATATAAATTAATTTTAACCTATTATAATTTTTTATTAATATTAAGTTGTATCAAGTAGATGAATTTATATTAATAAAATTATTATTTTTTTTTTTAAGTTGTAAATAGGCATTAAATATGGAATCTTTATTAAACAAATGTTTATAATTATTATATTAAATATTTCACTTCCTTCAGAGTGTTATATTATATTATTAAACTATTGCTAGCTAATATTATTTTATTTGTATATATAACTTTAACATATTCAGTTATACTAATTTTAAATATATTTGTAAATGATTTGCATATCAAATAGGACTTGTATAAAAGATAGAAATCCTATTACTAGTTTTTAACTACCAATTCTACTAAGTCCAGTTTCAACTATATCTGTTATAAAAAAAGTACAATTATGAAATATTATTATAAAGATTAATACTAGTTATTTCAATTACTTGTTTTGGGATATACCACTAATATAATGTAGTACTACTATTTTTATCACCTGTGGCCTTAATGTTTTTGCTTGAATTCTGATTTAAGTTTGTATTGGCTCTTACTAGACTTTCTTGACTTTAATGTCACTTATAGTTAATTATATCTTATATAGATCCATATTTTTAAGTTTTGTAAAATACTATCAATGGGTTATATCTCAAAGTACCAGATTAGAATATACCAGTTTAGAATCTATCTCTTTGTAGTTTGTGCTATAGAATTTGTTATGCCAGTTTTAGAATGTGAACTTTTTCTTATTAGAGTTAAACCAAAAGCCTTGCCTCATATAATCTTCCTTGCTTCAATCTTTTATCTTCTATAGATCTATTTGTTAATATTTTTTTTAAAAAACATTATAAATATTAGGATTTTAAATATCAAATATAAGATATTATTATATAAAATAATTCGTAAAAAGTATATAAATACTAATTTGTATAAGTTTTTTAAATGTATTTTTGATATTATATATACAGTATATTAATAAAATAATTATGTTTTTTTTATTTAACATTTTAAGAAATAAAATAAAATAAATAATAATCAATACTAATAACTTATAATAAATACTATTTTAGCAATTATATATTAAAAAAATTGTCAAAAAGAATAATAACTCAATTTTATTATTTTTATTATTTTTTTGTTTTCTTTATTTCTTTTATTTTCTTTAGATTGATTATTTAATTTATTTTTTTTATTTATATAATATGTAAAGAAAGTACTGTATATAAAAAAGTAATGTTAATAAAGAAAAAGAAAAAACATAAAATTTAGATTAATACCTAATTTAAATTGTCTAAATTTTCCACCTTACATCTCCATAAACATCTGAATTTCTGCCCGACAATATCGTGAGATCACCAACCCTGATTCCGACAATACAAATTAGTTATTGAATCGTACTAGATTGTACGCCACAATAGCCTATTGTAAAAAAATTCCCGTAGCTTTAATCGAACAAAAATGGTAAATAATCAATTTAGTTAAATTAAAGTCTTTAAATACTATCTTCGAATACAACTATGTCTTTCTATAACTTTATAAATACCTATATTCTTTACTCAAATTCCTTGAGCAATGGCTACAACTACTAGCAGTACACAAATTCTCACCACTAAAATTACGATCCAGAATGATTTAAAAACTCATCTCACTATTGAGGAAAAAATCTCTAGAATATTTCCGGGCATTCGAGTTCACGCAGTTTCATCGAAATATGATGTTACTGGATTAAG